GATCTGCTCTACAGCAATGGGCTGGGTTTAGTAAAGAGTTAGGGGCCCAATGCATAGGGTTTGTATAACAATGCACAGGGTTTACATAATAATGTATATAATTATATTGAAAGATAGATTTAAATTTTGATTGTAATGTGTTTAATCTTCATTTTATGGATCTGCCAAAAGTTACTTAGAAAGCCAATCATGAAAACTTAGATTTAATCTAATATTTTACTACTAAAAATTTACAAGACAATGAAAATTGTTTTATGCAAAGATCTGGATGCTTTTCTTATTAGATTTTTATGAACAGTTCCTTAAAATTAACTTTCCTCAGTATTCCCGGCACAACAGAACAAGGTTTAGCATAGACTGGACTCTCAACAATCGGTTCTAGATCTAAACATCAAACAGAAAGATGTGTGCGCATACACACACGCACACACATGCACACACACGTTTTCCTTGTTTAGAAGACTGTCAAAATTTCAGCTTGTAGTTCTCCAGAAACTACAAAGATCACAATAAAATAAAGTTACAGTAATAACAATAATAACATCTTGCCTTTTTTTCTATTCAAAAATCTTTCCCATACCTTGTCTCACTCATATTCCCAGTACAACTGTATGGGGCTGAGAGATAAGGCTTTACCTCAAAACCACACAGATGAAAATGAAAGAAGATTATTAAGGTTGCGGTCTGCCCCAACTTGTGAAATCAGTAAAGAGATCAAAAGTCCCTGCTTTTGCTGTGCTTATCTTCTCAGACTTACCGAAAGTCATCAAATGAGGTCAAAAGACACCAAAAATAGGTTGGCATAACTTACTGTCAGAAGTGATTGCTTTGGCAATAAGTTACCAAAGAGAACAAGCTGAACCAGAGAGGCAACATCTGAAGGCCACCACAAGGGTGTCCTTAAATCAAATTAAAACAGTGAAGTATCCTTGACTAGATATTTGATTAAACTCCAAAGCCAAACTCACGACCATTGAGTGGATTCCGACTCATGGCAACCCCGTTGAACTACCCCTGTAGAACAAGGAAGAATTGCTCCCGGGGGTTTCAGAGACCGTCGCTCTTTATGGGAGTAGAAAGCCTCGCGTTTCTCCCTGGGAGGGGCGGGTGGTTTTGAAGTTCACACCTGTGGTTAGCAGCTGAACACATAACCAGTAAGCCACCAGGACTCAGAGATAGCAGATTAGTGAGCTTAAGAAGAATACAAAGTTGGTGAGGGTGGTGGAAAGTGAAAGGTATACAGTATAGATAGGAGTATAAATAAGTAGCGTGTTGGTACAATTAACTGAGCAATAGGTATCAAAAATGTTTAAAATGCTCATGTCCTTTAACCAGTCATGCCACTTCTGGAAATTTCTCTCATGAAAATAATCATGAGAAAATACAAAGATTTAGCCAAATGGATGTTGCTTTATTATATTCCTAAATTTTTTTTAAAAGAGCAGTTAACTGCCAACAAATTTAATACATTGTCTACACAATGTGATTTTAAAGTTGTATGAAAAATCATGGCAAGAAGATCAAACAATACTGTTGAGGGGTGAAAGCAGGTCATAAAATTGGATGTATCAAATGAGTGTCATTTTTAATATAAATGTACTCAGAAAAAAAGTGTCTACCACAATTTTAACAATTACTATTTCACCCTGAGGAGTCCATGGGTGATTTTTATGTTCATCTATTCTATATGTACATAGATATTATATTTATATATAATGATCATACAAACAAATTCACTGCCATCGAGTCAATGCTACTCAGAGGGACTGGCCCCCATCCCTACTGGTGGACTTCCAAGATTGTAGCTGTTTATGGAAGAAGAAAGTTCAATTTTCCTCTCTCAGAGCTACTGGTGATTAGAACTGCCAACCATGCTGACCAAACAAACCCCAATGCGTAACCACTGCTCCCCCAGGGTACCAGAAACCAAACTCATTGTCATTGGGTCGATGCCAACTCAAAGTGGCTGTGCAGGACAGAGCGCCTCTACCCCTGTGACTTTCTGAGACGACATCCATAAAATAGAATATACATGTACTTTTTATTTTATTTTTGCATAAGCATGTGCTGTTTGCTCAAAATGTTAAAGGTTATATTTCAGAGGTGTACCTCTCATCCCCTGACTATAGCTATGTCATTTCTTTCCTAAGTAAATTAACAGATTTGTGCCCAATAGGGTTTATAAGTAAAAAGATGAACAAGTGCCTGCTGAGTTGAGAAGGCCCATGAGAACTTATCACATCACAACAATTAGGAAGACCAAATTCCATTTCCTGAAAGATAATGCCACTCACTCCCTCTGGACAACAATCCTTTTCTTTTCCTCAACATTGTCCAAGACAATGATAGTGAACATGTAGTGTCAGCATCTAATGAATTCACACGCCATGGCTCTTCAGCGACCACTTGGGTAAATACCATGCCCACTGGAGTCAGCAACATCTTTGGAAGCACCTTTTCCATCCTCTCCTGCTCCACGCATAGCCACAAGGCCAATACAGCGTATGGTATAAGCGTCACAAAGACTTTGAAAATAATTAGATGGAAAGTGTCCTTTGGCTGCCCTTTCTCCCTTTCTTTGTCATTTCACATTCTTTCCTTCTTCCTTATTCTTCCCCGACTAGCACTATGGATAGCAATTGTGGAAGTGAAAGGTGTCCACCAGGCCTGGTAGACCAATAAGAAATACAATCATACGGACCACCATAAATGGAATGAACTCGAGGACAATGGGTTTGCTTTTTGTTGCTGTTGCTGTTGTTTTTGGGTGACAGTGATGGTCTTCTCGATAGCTATAAGTCTGTAGCATTTTCTGCATTGGAAAGTAGATTCTTGCAGATGCAGATAGGTTAAACTTCAGCACCCAAACATGTGATCTCCCTTATGGACCACTTGAATTTTTTCCAGTTCTTAATGTTTTCTGCTTTCTTTGTGATTGGTTTTTATCTGCTTTGCTTAAAGTGTTTAGAAAAATATATTCATGATTTTAGATTTATATTTTAAACACACTTATTGAAGGAAAAATGTGTAAATCAATTGCTAATACAGTATTATTTTAGATGAATCAATGGATGTCTGTTAATGATGAAAAATACTGTCAGTCAAACACTGGGCACATTATTTCCTTCTAATGCTGTCAAAATTTAACTTAAAAAAAACCCTCATTGCCACCAATTTGATTCCACCCCATAGAAAGCATATAGAGCAGTAGAATTGCCTCTTTGGGTCTCCAAGAGTATAAATTGTTACAGCAGGACAAACGCTCTTCTTCCTCTGAGAAAGCAACTGCTGAAGTTGAACTTCTGACCTTGCGGTTGGCAGCCCAATTCATAATGTACAATGCAACCAGGGGTCTTTTCAAAGCCTAATGCAAAGTGATCAAGTAAGTCTTCATTCTAACACCAACAACAGCACTGAAGGAACACCATTTATAATGCCCTTCACTTAGCCATACACAAACGCACATAACTACTATGACTTATAAGTTCTATACAGTTATAAAATACATTAACCATATTTCATAAGCAATCTTCCATAGAATAAAACATGCGTAGTAAGTGATTGCATTTCTGAATACTTCTTTTAAAGTAGCGCATGAAATTATGAGTACATAATTCATCAAAATCCTTAAAATCTAGTTCCAAATATTGTATAATATTACTCTCATAAGATGCCACCGTCCTCTCCTAAGTGTATCATCAATGCATAAGTAAACCCAAAAAACTATGAGGAAAAATTAGGAAGAATGGAACGTGCCAGTATTCGTTTTACCGTCTCTGTGGAGTCTGGGAAAGACGGGCTTCATAGGAGATGCTAACGCTCAGACTAAGTCTGCAGCGTTTCTTTCTCTCAATGTAGCCTGGAGACGAAGTCGGTGTGAACAACAGAAGTGTGTTTTGGAAGATTCACAGATGAGCCACAGGTTTCGATCGAGCTGCTAATTCCATGTTCTTTCTCCAAAAAGACCTTTGAACCTGGTTCGGTGCCTCATGGATAGCCGCTCCTATGCTCTCCAACAGCCCAGCCCGCGCAAAGGCTGAGAGCGAGGAGAAAGTGGTGGTGTCTGTGTCAAAGCCCTCCGTTATGACACATTTCGGGGACGATAAACAGGAAACTCAAGAGCTAGGCAGACAGCCAGAATCATTCAGAAAATGTGCCAGATCCTTACGAAATACACGGACCATTAGCCTCTGTCCATTCACAGGCCTGTGCTCTCTCCTCACGCTGGCTTGCTGCGGCTCCAACGGGAAACTTGCCCATTTAGGACCTCTCTGGGCTCATCGGGTCCCAGTCACAGAGAGCCATTCTTGGTAAGTCAGAGCCAGGACTAGGGCCTTGCACTCTCTCTTGGAACTCTTCATCCTCTTCTGCCTACCTCCCCAACCTTCTCCTGACACTGAACATGCAGGTGAGCCCAAGGTCCAAGCCAGACACGCAGGCACTTCCAGATGGTTCTCTCAGCCCATGTGCTCTAGCTAGGTCTGGACCCATGGACCACTCTTGAATTGAGGGTGGATGACCAACCCAGTGACAGCAGGTAGGGGGAGGAGGAAGAAGGGATGTGGGGGGCCATGACCAGAGCAACAGGCTCCCGTAGTCCTATTGGTCCCACAGGAGAGCAGGCTGCTAGATTCCCTCTTGTATTCCTCGCATATCCACGCTGGGCCATGAATTCAGATGAATATTCTCAAAGTGATTCCAGCCTATCATCCACTCTCAAACACCTGTAGCACCAAAAGGAAGATGGTCCCCTGTGCGGCGATTTCTCCCACCACACCCCCAGTCTCAGGAGCGCTCGGTTCTAGCCCTGGCTGGTAGCACATGCTGCAGCACCATCCTGCTGTCAATGCTCTGGGACCTGGTGAGTGTGAGCCACCCACGGATCACATTTCTCACCCCTTCTGTGCTCCTCTCCCCATCCTCCCAGTCACAACCCCCACACCCACCCCCTGCTCACACAAGCATGCCTACTAAATCCTGAAACCACTCTCCCTGGCTGTGACACAGAGAGAAGCTGGGTCAGCATTATTATTTTAATGCTGCATGAAAGTGATTTGGCAATTAAGAACTAGGCGTCTCTCCATTCAGCATTATTAATTTAATTTAAATTCTGTTGACCACTCAGTATAAGGCTGAACCCATAGAATTTATGAGGTGGGTGCTTTAATCATCCCTACCTACAGATGAGGGAACTGAGGCACAAAAAGTTTAAGTACTTTCCCCAAGATCCCTCAGCCTAGTGTTCTTGCTGTCTTTCAAACCCAGCTGGGGAATCTGGGAGCAGGATTTATCTGCTCCAGGAGATGCTTGATGCTCGAGGCCATCAACTCTGGTTTCTTGTTGCCTATCCACCGGGCATTACAGACCGCTTTCTTCTTCTATGTAATTACCAAGTAGTTGGGATTGATGAGTAGATTAACAAGCTTTAGTTGAGCAATCCAGGGGTCCCGTTTAGCCAAGGGCAAGGATCTCAACCATTTTAAGAATAAGTCAGATGATGCTGAAGCTTATTGGGACACTCCTGTAGTGGTTTTGCGGACATTTGTATACATATCTGTAATGTGAAAGCGCAGATTTAAGACATCTGGTGAATCAATGATCAAGTTAAGACATAACCAGACTGAAATGACCAAGGGTCCCCACCCTTCCTCCAGTATACAACAGCTCTGAGGGTGGTTTGAGAAGACATGATTCCACCCCAACCCCCACCTAGTGTGAATAGTGCACCTAGTGTGAATAGTGCTGCCATCAACATGAGTGTGCACATGTGTATTTGTGTCACAGGTCTTATTCTCTAGCATGTGTCCTTGGTAGTGGGATTGCTGAATCATACTGTATTTCTGGTGGTGCCATTGATATAGTCCCACTGACAGTGTATGTGTGAGAATTCCAATCTCGCCACACCCTTGCCAGCATTTGTTGTTTCTTGGTTTTTGTTTTGGTTTGTTTTAATTTGCTCTTATTGCTCGGGTATGGTGCTATCTCCCTGTTGTTTTAATTTGCATCTCTCTACTGCTCCTGTGAGCATTTCTTTGGGTGTTTTGACCATGCGTATGTCTTCTTTAGTGAAGTGTCTGCTCCTATCCTCTGCCTATTTTTAATGGGATTGTTTGTCTTTCTGTGGTTCAGGTGCTGAAGGGTAATACACATTTCAGAGATTAGTCCATTGTGTAAGAATCTTCCCCAGTTTGTGGATTCTTTGTTCACTCTTCTGATGAAGTCTTTTGATGTGCAGAAGTGTTTACTTTTCAGGAGGTCCCAGTTACATGCCGTAATAGTCAGGTGTGGGGTCAAGTTGGCTAGATTCCTTGCCTTTGCAGCCATAAGCCTGACCCACTGACCTTGGATGTGTTCTTCTCTGCAGCCACCAGCCTGTGGTCATCAGCCCCCACCACTGGGTGACTCAGGAGAAGTCTCCAGCCTACGATCTGACTCACAGACTTGGAACCTGCCTAGGTTTGGATTTGCCTGCTTCTGCAGCCATATGAGTGTGTGTGTGTGTGTGTGTGTGTGTGCAATAGCCACCCAAAAGATGAAAAAGCATATAGCTATAATGGTTTCTCGTCTGTTGGGTGGCTATTATAAATGGTATCGTTTTCCTGATTCCTTTTCAGAGGTCTCTTTGTTAGTGTAGGTCGTAAGTTCCTAAGCAAATTTGGCCCACCATCCCCTTTTCAGGAAAAAAAAGTTACTCAACAGCCCCCTGGCAATTCAAAACCTGTTTACTGTATTATATGTTACTATAATCCAAGATAACGTGTAGGTATCGGCTTTTGCAGCCCACCATGGACTGATGGATCGCTCCAGTAACCCCCAGAGGATAGTATCACCCAATTCAGGAAACACTGGGGTAGAAGAATGTACCTCTTTTGTAAGTCGACCTCATACCCTTTTCTATATTATGAAATAGTCTGAGTAGAGTTGGTACCAGCACTTCTCCAGATGTTTGGTAGAATTCTTAAGTGAAGTTGTTGGCTGGGATTTTTTTGTTGTTATTGGGAGGGGTTTTATGTTTGTTTTGAGTGACTTGTTTAATTCCTCTCCTTGTTAGGTGTCTGTCCAAATTTTCTATTCCACTAAATTAGTTTAGGTAGGCAGTGTGTTTCTGGACATTTCGTCCATTTCTTCTTTTGAAATTTGCTGTGATACAGTGCTACATCAACTCACTGACAACAAGTCAAGTCTAACTGAAAGGGACCCTCTAGTTCAGTGAGTTTCTGAGAGTAAATCTTAGGGAGTAGAAGCCCTTCATCTCGCCCCAGGAGTAGTTGGTGGTCTCAGACTGCTGCCGCAGGGCTCCTACAGTGCTCCGTGGCATTCTGCTCCTCTCCTTCTGGTTCCCTTGGGCTGTTGGGATATTGCTCATTTGATTCCCTACTCGTGTTATTTCCATCATCTTCTTTTCCTTGTTTAGCGTTGCTGATAGTTTGTAAATTTTATTGAACATTTCGAAGAACAAATTTCTATTCTTGTTTATTCTTTCCCTTGACTTTCTGTTTTGTATTTCGTTTCTTCCGGCTCTCATATTTATTATTTCTTTTCTTCCGGTGAGTGTAGGTTTATTTTGTTGTTCTTTTTCTAATTGTTAGTTGTGGTTTAAAATGTTGATTTGGTTCATACTTCTGTCTTAATTGTATTTGTTATTATAAATTGCTCTGTAAACACTGCTGTTGCTGGGTTGCAAAGACTTGAGTATGTCGAATTCTCATTCCAGTTTAACGTAAGTACACCCTAATTTAATTTTGCATTTCTTCTATTGCTCAGTAGCATTTAAGCAGAGTGTTCATCTCCATGTATTTAACTTTCCATTTGATCTTTCTACTGTTTCTCTCTCATTTTATAGAATTGGATTCTGAGAAGACTCTTGGTAGGATCTCTATGGTTTTACATGTATTGAATCTCGCTTTGAAACTTAACATATAATGTGTCCTGGGAAAAAAATCCACGTTTACTAGCAAAGAATGCACATTGTATTGGTGTGAGGTCAAGTGTTCTGTGCACACCTACAAGATCCAGTTGGGTGCTGATGCTGTTTGGATCTCACTTATCTTTGATGAGCTACTTTCTAGCTGTTCCGTCCTTCACGACAGCCGTGTTTTAAAATTGCTTCACTGTGGAGCTATTTCTTTCGCTTTTCACTTCTGTTGAAGTTTGATTCGTGCATTTCAAAGCTCTTTCATTCAGTGTATACATGTTTATTATGATGATCTACCTTTTAATCATTAAATAATAGCCATCCTTGCCTCTTTGATTTTTATCCTGTAGTTTACTCTTTTTCCTCGGTTTAAAACAAGTCTGTTCTGTCTTGACTGTGTCCCAGCTTCTTTGCCATTGGGAAGTTCTGTAACTAGCAACGTACGCCTTCTTTGGGGTTCGCATTTGATATCATGTACAGATTGATGTCTCTGGTTCTGTTTTCAATTGTGAAAATTCTTTATCCGAGTTGATTTTCAGGTCATTTATAATGTTTCTTAAGCAGAAGCTTTTGTCTGAAGGGTTGGGGTCTCTGTTCAAATAACCTCTTCAATCAAAATTATAAACCTGACTGGAATGGTTAGCCCCCCCCCCTTTGATGCACATTAGGACTGATCTGATTTTCAACATTTTCTATATTTTTTGGTTCTGCTTTTTCCATATTGGGCTTTATCTCGGATGTGCTATGTCACTGGGGGTCACCTCCTGAATTTTTGTTATGTTTTTCTGTTTTTCAGTATATGAAACCCAGGATTGATGAAGCTATAGGGACAGCAAGTTGTATACGGTTTTCTGGGGGCTACAGTGATGTTAGTGGAAGGGGGCAAGGGGAGTTCAAGAAGGCAAAGAATGTTTGTAGTAACAATTGTACAATACAGCTTGATGTGATTGAACTATGGAAGGATATGATATCTGTATTAACTCACAATGAAATGGTTTTGGAAAAAGGAAAAACATAAATTAAAAAGTAAAACAAAAGTAATTGATATATCCAAAAGCAGCAACAACAAAGGACCTCTTCACCATTTCTTCAAAGCT